ACACTAAGTACTGATCTAAGAGTACTCAAGGTCACTCGCATAGAGAGGGCATACAAATATGTTATGTGTGTGTGTCAATGAGACAGCAAACACAAAATGAAAATCTAGAATGCATCTGGAAAGCTATATGCAGTCTTCAACAATGAAAAGTATCTACACTAAATGTCAACCTTTCCATCATCCAATGTCTTAAACATGTTGAGAATAAATTTAACAGACTACCAAAGATTTGCCATAACCTCTAAATTTATAAAAGATCATAAAACCAATTCGACAATACCTGACTGTTCTGGAGCTGTGAGTCATATCTATATGTTGCTAGTTTTTTGAGTGCTCACCTACCTTAAGAGTAATGAAAATGAAATGCTCTGCAGTGAGCAGCTTGATAAAACTGCAGAGGTTGAACCCTGGACAAATGGGGCAAGAATGGACAAAACATTCAAGCTTGATACAGTGCTGAATTTGGATTGTGATGATATATATAACACGGCATAGGTTTCTGATACAGAATGAATGAGGTTTAGGAACTAAAAAATTTGAAATTTGAACATTTACAGTTATGGTCCAATATCCAAAATCTAAATACATGGTTAGATTTAGAATATTAAAGAACCTGTAGAATTCAATTTTTTATGAAATTAAACAAAGTTTAATTTTAGACCCTTTGGACATCAATGTGGAACAACTTGATTATGGTTTACAACTGTAAATTCATAAATTAATGCGAGGATTTTATTAATGCGAATATTGTGACCCTTTGAGTATTGCATTAATAAGAATCGCATTCTGATATATATGATACATATATATGTAAGAAGCTTTTCCTTAGATCGCAATAATTAAACTCACATTTTTGTTAATTCTTCAAAAATCGCAATAAATAAATGCATGCAATAATTTCTGAATTTACAGTACATGGTTAGATTCAGCATATCAAAGAATCCCAAGAATTCAATTTTTGTTGAAATCAAACATAGTTTAATTTTGGACCCCAATTTGGAAATTTTGGACCAACTTGAAAACTGGGCCCAAAATAAAAAATCTAAATACATAGTTAGATTCAGCATACCAAAGAACCCCAAGAATTCAAAGTTTAATTTAAGATCCTTTGGACCTCTAGGAGGAACATTTAAAAATGGGGCCCAAAAACCAACATGGTTTGATTCAGAATAATAAAGAACCCCAAATAACCCCAAAAATCAATCCCAACCTATTGGTATTTAACCTTGTGGTACAATGTAATAGAGATCCATAGACTTATACTCTAGTTATTGTCTGGAAACAAGAAAATCCTTCTCTTCCCCCCCCCCCCCCCCCCCCCTCCTTTTTTATGCCCCTGCCTTAGCGGTGGGGGCATTAAGTTTACCCTTGTCTGTCTGTACGTACGTACATACGAACGTACGTCCGTACGTCCCAAAATTGGTTTCCGTTCTCTAACTTAAGTTTGCCTCAACCAAATGTTATGAAACTTATACACAATGCTTATTACCACAAAACACAGATCAAGTTTAAATTTTGGTGGCGTCACTTTAACCGTTTTAGAGTTATGCCCCTTTATAAATGGAAAAATTGCAAAATTTTTAGTTTCCGTTCTCTAACTTTAAAGTTTGCCTCAACCAAATGTTATGAAAATTATACACATTGCTTATTACCACAAAACACAGATCAAGTTTGAATTTTGGTGGCGTCACTTTAACTGTTCTAGAGTTATGCCCCTTTATAAATGGAAAAATTGCAAAATTTTTATTTTCTTCTAAATATCAAGTAATTTTTAAAATTGGAGTTATCTTCCTTTGTCCATGATTATAGTTGAATCAACTACAATCAATGCTTTATACAATGCAATGTTAAATTTTGACTTTCACTGATTAAACACAGATCAAGTTGAATTTGGGTTGTGTCACCTTTAACCATTATTGAGTTATGCCCCTTTATAAATCGAAAGATTGCAAAATTTTTAGTTTCCATTCTGTAACTTAAGTTTGCCCCAACCAAACATTATGAATCCTATACACAATATTCATTACCACAAAACTTGTGAAACCTATACACAATATTCATTACTTCAAAACTAAGATCAAGTACAAATTTTTTGTTTCTGTTTTCTAACTTTAGTTTGCCTCAACCAAGTGTTATGAAACTTATACACAATGCTTATTACTACATAATACAGATTAAGTACGAAATTTGGTGGCGACACTTTTACCATTCTTGAGTTATGTCCCTTTATAAACATAAAAATTGCTGAATTTTTCATTTCCGTTCTCTAACTTTAGTTTGTCTCAACCAATTGTTATAAAACTTATACTAGAGTAATGCTTATTACCACAAAACTCAGATCAAGTTCAAATTTGGGTAGCATCACTTTTACCGTTCTTCAGTTATGTCCCTTTATAACTATATGATATGCAAGCGGGGGCATCATCTGTGTCCACATGTGGACACTATCCACATTTATTTGCTCCTAATTCCTAAACGGTTTGAACCATAACCCCAAAAATCAATCCCAATCTTTCTGTTGAGGTAATGAACCTTGTGGTACAATTTCATAGAGATCCATACACTTATTCTCAAGTTATTTGGCATCAACTTGTATTACCAAAAGGTAGTGTGTCGCATTCATATTGACCTTTGACCTAAAGGTCAAAATCCTTTTTATTTTTTACAATTTTGCATTTGAATATCTTTATACCGTACCTGGAAAAATTGTGACATTAAACGTCAGGGATTCAAGAATCTTCTTCAAAAAGAAAATGAAAGAAACAGGCATTCTGAGAGTATTGCATATGCAATTCAATGTCCAATTCAGCTGTTAATTTTACATTTGATGTGTTTACAATTATTGCCCTATAACAAATTAACCACCTCAGACGTTACAAATTAAACTTCTCATTTAAACTGAGATTCTCAATCAATTTTCCTTTCAAAGTCCTTAGCAAAATCAATAAAATGCTCCGCAGGGCGCAGCTTGATACGACCGCAGAGGTCGAACCCTGAACAGTTGGGGCAAGTATGGACACAACATTCAGGCTTGATACAGCTTTGCATTTGGATTGTGATTAAATATTTGACACAGCATAGGTTTCTGACACAGAATGAATGTGGTCTAAGAACTTAAAAATTTTAAATTGGACATTCACCTATTATGGTCCAATATCCAAAATCTAAATACATGGTTAGATTCAGCATATCAAAGAACCCCAAGAATTCAATTTTTGATGAAATCAAACAAAGTTTAATTTTGGACCCTTTTGACCTCAATGTTGATAACGGGGCCCAAAAATCAAAAATCTAAATACATGGTTAGATTCAGCATATCAAAGAACTCCATATATTCAATTTTTGTTGAAATCAAACAAAGTTTAATTTTGGACCCCGATTTGGACCAACTTGAAAACTGGGCCCATAATCAAAAATCTGAATACATGTTTAGATTCAGAATATCAAAGAACCCTAAGAATTCAATTTTTGTTAAAATCAAACCAAGTTTAATTTTGGACCCTTTGGACCTTAATGTAGACCAATTTGAAAACGGAACCAAAAATTAAGAATCTAAATACACGGTTAGATTCGGCATATCAAAGAACCCCAATAATTCAGTTTTTGATGAAATCAAACAAAGTTTAATTTTGGACCCTTTGGACCTCAATGTGGACCAATTTAAAAACGGGGCCCAAAATCCAAAAACTTAATACACGGTTAGATTCAGCATATTAAAGAACCCCAAGAAGTCAAGAATAAAACCCCATTGAAATTGGTCAAGAAATAAGCAATTTATACGAAGTATCTTCTTTTGCACAATACTGTGCAATTAAATATTTCTTGCTATTGCGCAATACTGTGCAATTGAAGATTTCTTGCTATTGCGCAATACTGTGCAATTGAAGATTTCTTGCTATTGTGCAATACTGTGCAATTGAAAATTTCTTGCTATTGCACAATACTTATTATATAATAATTTACACATCCTGTTTAGTGTGTATCTCCTACCATATCATTATTATTTGCTTTTAAATATAAATCAGAAATAACCAACTTAAAATGGAAAATTTTAAAAGAAAAAAAAAAGGAAAAAAAGAAAAAAAAGGAAATAAATAAAAATCCCCCCCCCAAATTTTTTGAACCCCCTTATGATTCATCACCCCCAAACTCAATCCCAGCCTTCCCTTTGTGGTATGGTACCTTGCAGTACAATTTCAGAGAGACCCATACACTTGAACACAAGTTATTGTCTGGAAACTAGAAAAATGTGTTTTTTGGCCCCTTTTTGGCCCCAAATTCCTAAACGTTTAGGGCAATTACCCCCAAACTCAAACCCAGCTTTCCCTTTGTGATATGGAACCTTGTAGTACAATTTCAGAAAGATCCATACACTCACACACAAGTTATTGTCCTGAAACTAGAAAAATGCTTGTTTTTTGCCCCTTTTTTGGCCCCTAATTCCTAAAATTTTGAGGCAATTACCCCCAAAATCAATCCCAGCATTCCTTTTGTGGTATGGAACCTTGTGGTACAATGTCAGAGAGATCCATACACTAACACACAAGTTATGTCTGGAAGTTACAAAAATGCTTATTTTTGGTCCCTTTTTGGCCCCTAATTCCTTTACTGTTGGTACCATAACCCCCAAAATCAATCCCAACCTTCCTTTTGTGGTATTGAACCTTGTGGTAAAATTTCATAGAGATCCATTCACTTAAACTAAAGTTAGAGTGCGAAAACCAATGTGTCTTCGGACGACGCCAGACGACGACGACGACGCCAACGTCATACCAATATACGACCACAAAAATTTTTTTGCGGTCGTATAAAAATCACATCTGGAATTGAATGCTATAAACGTCATTTACAACTTCTTAAGATATGACTATATACTGACCAGATAGAAGCATTACAGAAGAAAGAGTGGAACACTGAGATTAGGGGACTTTTAATGCTGTATTCTGGTATAATACTCCTTTTAAAGACTCTTCCTTGAAAGTCCTGATACAGAAGTTGCCTATTTTTAATAGCATTTATTTATAAAAGATTATTATCACAGAAGTGTCCTGTCTTTTAAAATTCACATAAACTCGATTCATAATGCCTTGTCTATAATATCTGACACATTCCAACGCATTGGCCTCCAACCAAGTGGTATCCTTAATACACAAAGACCTTTGGATAAGTACCCATACTTTGATATGTACTATAACTATTCATCATGAGCATCAGCTGTGTCACCAGGGCAATTTGTTAACAGATCATCTTCATCTGAAACAATAAATAGTTCATGACTATTAATTTGGTCCAAGGCATACAACAAACAAATCTGGATTACAAATAACTTACTTTTGCACTTGAGTGTTTATGTTTTTTTTTTTAAATAGTGTATAATAATGACTTATAGATATTTTGTGTTGCGTTCTAGTTGACTGACATTTTGCATAATTACAGTCTTTGGAATTTGAATTATGCACATCACCATACTTTTTTTTATCATGCATGCAGATCTTGAGCTGATAATTGGTACACAAGTGTTTGCATTTCATTATGGTGGACAAATTGTATAAAAAAATTTCCATCAATTTTACATATCATCTTGAATTCAAATGTCAAAATTTACCATAATTTGTATTAATTTTTACCTTAGCTGCAAGTACTCTATGCTATGATTTGAAACCATCTGGGCTTATGTTGATGATTGGGTTAATTAAAAGTACTTCTTGTTTCTGAATCTTTTACTTGTTTTTCTTGTTCATACACGTATGCATAATATTGTAAAATCTGGTAATTTTATTCATCCTGTAACTTCATATATTTTCTTTACTATTTATTTAAAGGACATACCAAATTACTGAAGTATTGAACCTAATATTGTTTGAAGAATCTCATATTTATGATAAAAGGTGAACAAAAATTCTCTAAGTAAACGGACATACTTTTAGTTTACCTCTGACTTGGACCAACTTGTGTTACCCAATTTTTAGTATCAAACTGTGACAGAAAGAAAACACATTTTTTTTTGGAGTAAAGTATATAAGAAAATTGATACCTTCAAATTTGGTGCCACACCATATGCAGTAGAGATGTATTGTTCTAAGGTAGGCTGTAAGTGCTTCAAGTTTCTCTTGATTCTAAAACAAACATATTGTGGTATTAAGTTGTATCTAGTTTTTTTACAATGTCTGATCCAACATTATACAAATTGAATGATCAATATTTATATAATATTTTTCTTTGAAGCAATTGGGATGACAAAAAAAGTATCATTCAATGTACCAAGTATCCATTTTCTCAACATGACATGACATGGTAAGAAATTGGACTTTTTTTTCTATTTATGAAAAGAAATTTTTTGTGTTTCTTTGACTTTAGCAGTAGTTTTTGTCTACTCTGAAATTCATGTCACAAAGAAGTTCATAGGTATTACATTGTACTTTTAATTGCCAATTATAATTAGAAAGTAATAGTCATAAAACAATGATATTTTAAAACTTATTGTACATATATAATATTAGAATCCACATACTGTAAATTCAGAAATTATTGCGTGCATTTATTATTGTGATTTCGCCATTTTAGACTAAAATGCGATTTTAATTTTTGCGATATTGTGAAAAATCCTGTTTAATTCATATAAAAAATTTAAAAATGCGAGTTTAAATTATTGCAATTATAACCCTGTCGCATTTTTCGCAAAAATAAAAAGATCGCAATAATTTCTGAATTTACAGTATCCAAAATTGGCAATGACATGTGTGTATATGAGCACTACCCCCATATCTATGCCCAAGTGAATTAATTTTTTTTCTCTACATTGTAAAGATGTTCAGTTTTGTTATTAGATATGCTTTTTAAGAACTGAATTTAAGATAATCCTTTGATGTATGGTATTCTGTTTGCATCTATGTATTTTGGTTCCAGTCAAAACTGGAGGCACTGTCCTTTTATTTATGCTACAATGATTTTTTAATTTTACAGAATGCATGTGAAGTTTGCATATGTGGTGTAATAATAAATCGTCTACCAGACTACTGATAAACTGTATAGCTGATGCAACATCATGCATCCATTTCAGTCAATTCATGCAGAATATGATGCTTCAATCCCTTAGTCATGCTTTTTTGTTTTTTATTTATTGAACCAATATTTTATTTTTATATTCTTTATTACTTGAACCAATATTTCATTTTTATTTGTTTATCTTTCATTTGAACAAATATGTTAGAATTATGCAGATATGCAGAGAAAAACAAAAACACAAGTAAGACTATGGTTACGTGTCATAATAATTAACCATTGGCAAAATAACAAATCATGTCACTTAATATGAAGAGATTTAAAATGGGATATCACATCCTAATTTTACAGTGATGTTGTTTTTTAGAGCCTATAAATTTTGAAACAATCCATGTAAACTCATCGATCCTTTGAATAAACTTACTCTTAAAGATTCTTAAATTTAACACATAGTAAAATCTTTCAATATCGTTTTTATCGATACAAACGCCTCCGAAGCGGGATGTTCTCGCTGTGTTGAAGACCCGTTGGTGGCCTTGGGTTGTTTTCTGCTCTTTGGTCAGGGTGTTGTTTCTTTGACACATTCCCCATTTCCATTCTCAATTTTATTGATTTTGTTTTTGAAAAATTAAAGCATAACTAAATATATATGAACAGCAATAAGTACTCATGATCCTACATCATGTTAGTCAGTTGATACTGTTTACTTATATTATGGTATTGCACAAGGTGACAAGGTTATGTGTTTCTCAGACTGTGTACAACATCTTAATACACATTGGTATCAACCATGATAACCCAACATATAGCCATACTGAGTACAGTTAAAATGAGTTGAAGTACTCTAAAAATCATAGAGTATGCATTAATCAACAATATACTGACTGTTAAAAAGTCTTCCTCTTCTTCTTCTTCATCTTCATCATCATCCTCTTCTTCCTCTACTACCTCAAATGATAACCCTGTCTCTGTTTCATTTTTCTTTTTCTTTTTTGGCAACATTGATTTAGGCCAGAAGTACCATTCATCTGGAATTGTTGTACCCTAAAAACAAATGAAGAGTGATCAATGATTTATCAATCTCAATCATTTACTTCTTACTTCATTTTGATAAGATTTTCCTTTGAATTTAACTTTCCACCCAATTCTTTAGAAAATAGTATTTTCCTGTTTTGAGTGCTTTAATAAATATAATTTTAATAACAAGGTCTAAAAGATTCACTTTTCACTTTTGTCAGTTATTATAGTTTAACATGTAATAAGAAAAAATATATTTCATTTGGATTTAATGAGGTCTGGGCAATATGTGTCAATGACACACACGTTCCAACAACAAATGTTATAAAAAATTAGGTCACCATAATGGTGATAATGATGGATAAATGTCCACACTGTATTGTAAACTTTGTTGTCTGTTCTATGGTCGGGTTGTTGTCTCTTTGGCACATTCCCCATTTCCATTCTCAATTTTATTTAAATGACTTAGACTTGTTCAGTAAAGGCATGCAATGCATAAATACAGCATTCCTTTTTTACCAAGTTACTTACCAGCTACACAGTGGATGACAGGTCATATCATAAAAAGTGTGAACTTACTTTTGAAACTTTTTTTCATTGTTAATCCTCTTACCATTTCTGAATCTAGTTGTTCACAAACTTTCTGACTTTTTATCATATCTCTCTCTGCTTTACCATCAGTGAATTTACTACTCATTCTCTGTTGAAAATCTCTTTTCAAATTGGATTCCATTTTCTGTCTTTTGATAAGACGACTGGCTCTCATTGTAGTCCACTGCTCTTTTCGCCTTTTTCTGTCTGCTTCAGCACCTAAACCACCTCTACCTGTTTTAACATATATACCAACAGGTTCTTTTCTTCCTTCACCTATACAAATCCAAACAAATACACATTAAATTTAAGTAAGTAATATTATTAGACCATTTAAGTGCATACCACCATCATCTTAAACAATTTCACTGCATTGCACATGCATCAAAACAATAATTTAGACAGTTTGCAATCTAGCAATGTTCTCCCTAGGACATTTAATAGGGGTACTCTTTTTTCTGTGATTTTTACGCTTGATTTTATCAGAAATGAATTGTTTTTATTCTATGAACTACGATATATACTAGTTAACACTGAAGAAATAATTTCAGCTACAAGATTGTTTATCAAAATTTTCTCTATGCCAAGATGCTATTTAAAACTACTGAGTAGACCTATGAGCCATACATTGTACATATAAACCTCACAATGTTCGGTGATTGACTTCCTTTAAATTTTCATTTTTGAATCCAAACAGTATTATCAGGCTATCTTTAAGTTGTAGTTTGAACATAATAGGACCAAACATTGACATTTCATTACAAAGGCTAGCATTATTTCATCTTTTCTTATTTTATAGAATAATGTGTGTTGTTCTAATTAGTCATATAAGTTATGTTTTAAAGCTAATAATTATTAAGTCAAGATGTTTATCATGATTGATACATGTACGACAAATCTTATCGATTGGCCGCTTCCTACAACTAACTTTCTTACAGAACTTTATTCCAGCTTACCCTGTTTACCAATCCCCATTCCTGGTTTATATCCCATCTTTGCTAGTAAAGCAAATCCTTTATTGTCACTTTTGATGGCTGCTTGTAAACCCTCTTCTCTTTTCTCGTGCTCTACTACAGACTTTGGTTTTACAATATTCTTAACATTAGATTCTTTAATTTTCTTCTCTACTTTATGAATTCTTGCAATGTTGGCTGATACAAGGCCTGGTCTGGTTTCTGTACTGTAAATAAAGACAAGCTATTTACATGAAAATGTACTAAAACAAATGCATGAAAAGCTTAAATGTGTTTTATAGAGCATAACAGTTTGACTATTTTAAACTAAAAAGGAACTTTATGTACAATGTTATGATCAGATATTATAAGATACATGCACTTATTACCTACACTTTGTAAGGGCAATGAATGGAGACACTAACCTATTGACAAAACATTTGACTGTTAGGCCAGGGTTTTTAAATTTGTTGGTTTACGGATCCCTATTTTTCTGATTTGCAGAATAAAAATAAAATTGACATTTCATGCTTTTTTATTCCCGCTGATCCTAACAAATACGTTATCCCTGAAATATAAATAAAAATATTCTTTTATATGAAATTAAATGCATTTAAGATTAACAGAAATGATTACACATTGTGATGTATAAAAAAAAAAAAGGTTTATGTATCTAAAAATAGACAATCATAACTGACCTTGAACTGTTGTTTGCGCAAATAATTTTGCGGAACGCGAAATCTGTGTTAAAAACCTATTCCAATAAGTTCGTTTTCCTTTTTTCCGTAAAATTTATCATCGCATAAATGAAATGGACCCGTCCAAATGTGAAAGACAGCAAGTTAAGAGTAAGAGAAAATCACAAACAATTTGGAATTTTCTTGTTTCATAGATTGAAAAAAAAATTCGTCCATTTGGATATAAAAAACGGGAATGCATGAGAAATGATGAAACTGATATCCTCGTCTTTCCAGTGGACGAGTCTACTTCGTTTTTGACAAGGATTGTAAAGTCTTATTTTCGTATGACGTGTTTGCAATTTTTATTTCACTTGTTTTCGTGATTAAAAATTATTATTCGCCATGTTTCCTTAAAGTTGATAAAAAGCAACGTGGAGTTGTTTTTTCTTGTTTGTGAAATGACGATTTAATTTCATGTTTGTCCGACAAAATAGCATACCAAAAATAAAATATCGTTAGTAAGCTGAAATGTATATTTATTTTTTACATATTTATGTCTTGTAAGATATTTGTTTTCTTTTTTTTTTCTGACTGACTGACCCAACTTTTTCATGTGAAAAATCCGTAAACCAACAAATTAAAAAAAAACCTGGCGTTTAGACATACAAAAATTAAGGCTTTGAATTATTTTAATCATGAAATATTTCATTAAAGTCATATGATACTTCAAATTAAAAAAACAAAAAGAAAGTTGAATATGTTTCATATACTTTTACTACAAAACAAGTTTAAGAGAACTTCCTTGAAAAAGAAAATCCTTGCTTAATCTCATCAAAATCTTCTGAAAATATGCTTGAATTAAAAAAAAAATGTATACAGTCCTCAGACTTCGTCCCCTTTCACAGGTAACGCCTGCCTCATATTATTAATACATTTATCTATAGAGTTTTTTCGTTAGCTTAATGATCTTTTCCAACCTGTTATCAATCCCCCCTTTTTTCCTTATAACTTTGTTCCAACTTCGATAGTGCTAAAACTCAACCATTTTGTTAGGATGGCATCAGACATATAATCATCTTCTTCATCGTCTAAGTTAGCAGACATTTCCGTTCAGGGTCAATGGCATTACAGGAAAAATCACATTTCTTTTTTTTTTTGATAGTCCAAAATAAACCGGATGTACTGAAGATCATGTAATATCAGAAACAAAAAGAGGCAACTTCGTTGTGGTTCCGGAAAATGTCGGTGAATTAGAAAATCTGATATAGAATAAAATTTCGTTTAAATGTATCTAGTATTGCTATTGGAACTGTCGCTGAAGTTATTATTACATTCTGTGATAAAGCTTATGTTGTTTTGTTTGTAATAAAACAGGTTTAGATTTTAACGAGAGAAATTTATGTATTACTGGAAAATTATTACACCAGGGTTTTCGATATCACAAACTAGTCAAAACATTTACTAAATGTTATCATCGGTATAAGGACATCATTCGTAAATATAGCTCAACATGTAGACTTCTTATACGTTCAGGTATTTCACATCCAATTTTTTATGGAAATATTCTTTATAAAGCACAAAAATGTCAGTATTCACCTCTGAAGCTAACAAAACCTTTAAATAGACTTATTAAGAAGGGATATAGTTACGATACTGTTGTCAGGTCATTAAAGATTGCATATTTTGGCGTTAATATTGATTCACTTATAGGGTCTTTACATCGGCACTAAACACATTTATTTAAAAACCAGTTGTTGGCATGACACGGGTTATGTTCTTCTCATATATATGTTATGATGGTATGATACTAAACCCCTAACGGGAAGGATTGTGCCTGATAATCATATGATGAAGACATAATCTTTCAATCAGTTTAATTGAAGTCTGGAGCTGGCATGTCAGTTAACTGCTAGTAGTCTGTTGTTATTTATGTATTATTGTCATTTTGTTTATTTTCTTTGGTTACATCTTCTGACATCAGACTCGGACTTCTCTTGAACTGAATATTAATGTGCGTATTGTTATGCGTTTACTTTTCTACATTGGCTAAAGGTATAGGGGGAGGGTTGAGATCTCATAAACATGTTTAACCCCGCCGCATTTTTGCGCCTGTCCCAAGTCAGGAGCCTCTAGCCTTTGTTAGTCTTGTATTATTTTTAATTTTAGTTTCTTGTGTACAATTTGGAGTTTAGTGTGGCGTTCATTATCACTGGGCTAGTATATATATTTGTTTAGGGGCCAGCTGAAGGACGCCTCCGGGTGCGGGAATTTCTCGCTGCGTTGAAGACCTGTTGGTGACCTTCTGCTGTTGTCTGTTTTATGGTCGGGTTGTTGTCTCTTTGACACATTCCCCATTTCCATTCTCAATTTTATTACATAAATTTCGTATGCAAAGAAATTAATGAAGCCAATCATTATAAACTAGCTCGTTTTGAAATAATAATTTCATTGCATGATCTTACATATCCAAACCGACAAAAACTGGGTCAAATCTGCAGTCACTTGTTTCTGAAAAAATACCTATATACTTTAATACAACATATAATAATATAATTTTATATTAAAGTATATATGTAATTTTTTTCAGAGACAATTAAGTGCCTGTGGTCAATTGTTCTTTTGCATTAAATTATAAAAGATCACATCATAATGGATCACAATGAACAAAGGTACCAAGATCCCTGACTTCATGTTAAAATTTCTCAACCAAAACTTTAACTTGGCCTGATACGGAATGGACAGATAAGCGGAATAACAGACGGACGGACGCTAAGACAATAAAACATAACCCCCTCTACTTTCGTACGCAGTGCATAAAAAACATCAACTTTACCAAGGCTAATAATTTAGTGCACTTGACGGAAACCTTAAATCTACGATTTATAAAAATCGAATGGGAGCTTACGTCAATAGATATAAACAATTCACCACACCTGTCAACCTATGACAATGAAAATGCAGGTGATGACCTGCATAGAACAATGAAATCTCAGGTCATAACGCGTACGAACTTTTTCGAGCTGAATTTCAGTATTTAGGGGGCATTTTTCTTATAATTTATATCAAATTTTCCTAAACATGTCCACATGGTTAAGTAATTTAGAATTGTACATTTTATTATTTCATTGCACTTGGAGGCCATTGATAGATTTGCCTTTATTCCTGTTCATTTTCAGTCCATGACATACAATGTGCCAAATTATGTTATCTGTGCATACATTTGTGCAGCTTTTAAACAGTAAAACATATCATATATATTGAAGTTTTTAACTAACTTGACTGGCTACACAGCCCTTGCACGGTCGGCCAGGAAAGATATTAGAGTATAATAAAATAAAGTTAGACAATTATAGGAGGTATAGATAAAAAAAGTAATTTTCAAAATTTTTATTTTTTAATTGTTCTAAGGTAGAACAATAAGTAAAAGTATTATTCTGATATGTTTTAATTCAATTCATTTTAGATTTAATCTTTTTACAAAAAAAACATAAGTTTAAGGAGTATATTGTGAATTGACAAAAAAGGGGAAGTAACTCAAATTGTTTTTAAAACAACTTTGAAATACATAAATTATTTACGACCTAAAGCTAAGGTGTTAATTAACAGTGTGTTTGACACCAAAGCTGTCAAGTGAAGCCATGTACTGAAATGGGTCACTTGAGCTGAGTTTACACAGCTAGTTGAACTTCTTGTCCAGGAAGAATTACGAATTTGCCGGTATTTTAAAGGAATCAGTTTATATCTAATCAGTCTGAAGGCTTAGGAATCCGGGTGAAAACGGGTTATTTTCCGAATTCCCGGGTTATTTGGTCACCCGGCGGGTGTTCCGGGTGACCCCTCAAAATTGTGAAAATCTCGGGTCACACCCGCAGGATCCGGGTCAGTTGACAGGTATGATTCACCAAAGTTTCATGAAAATTGGTGAAAGGGTTTTCGAGTTATTGTCCATCAATTTTCGACGACGGACAGACGGACAATGGCATACCATAATACAAAATATAGTTGGCAGTCTTAAGACGGACGTATAAAAATGGAACAAACTAGGAAATTAAAACATTGACCAATGAACCATGAAAAGGAGGTTAATGTCAAATGAACCCTGCCAGACAGACATGGACATGCACCTTCAAATCATTCCATACACCAAATACTGTTTACCTATTTCATATGGATATGAGAAGCAAACCTTGGCAGGAAAACTTTACATTGAAAATGAACCATGATGATGAAAATAGGGTCAAGGTAAGATTTTCGCTGGCAGACATACTTGTATACCTTCAAATTATTCCAAATACAAAAATAATAGTTTTTTTTTCTATTACTTATCGTATCTGAGAAATAGACCAAAACCAAGAAAACTTAAGGATGACCAATGCACCATGTCATGGTCAGACATGACCCTAACAGGCATACATGACTTTGGTACACCTTTTAATCATTTCATACATCAAATATAGTTGCCTATTGCTTATAGTATCTGAAAACAGCACCAGACATGACATTGACCAATGAAACAGGAAAATGAGGTCAAGGTCAGATAAAACCTGCAAGACGTAAACCTTACAATTATTGCATACACCAAATATAGTTGACCTTATTTTGCTTATTGTATCTGAGAAATAGACCAAATCATTAAAACTTATTATCGACCAATAAACTAGGAAAATGAGGTTGAAGTCAGATGAAACCAGCCAGACTGACATGTACATTTGACTATCATTCCAGACCAAACATAGCTGACCTTTCGCAATCAATATATGATATATGGACTTGACCTACAAACTTAAACCTTGATCACTGAGCCATGAAATGAGGTCAAGATCAGGGGAACCCGATATTTGAATGACATGCAGATCGACCTTACAAGGATCCCATATATCAAATATAGTGTTACTTGTAATAAATGAGAAATTTATGTATACAAAAATAGGGTTTTTAAACACTCCATGGAACATGAAAATGAGGTAAAGGACAAAGGACATTGAACATGTACTTGAAACTACCCAACTATATACTCCAACTAATAAAGCTAGACAAGGTATTTTGTAAAAGATTGTTGTTCTCTAGATGTCCTTTGGGCTTTTTAGTTTTCCATTTCCTATCTTATTGATATATACCTAACATCATTAATTCTTACCTTGTTCAATTTTTTTATTAGTAATTTAGGTTTATTTATATCTATCATATTACTTAGCTAAAGGCTATTTAATCTTTTGCCATCATCTAACAGAAGAATTCCTTGTATGGTTCTTATCCTTAGTGATCTAGTGTAGAGCCTATTGGCAAAACAACATGCCTACTAGCCAGAAAGGAGTCAGTTTTACATTAATTACAATGGAAAATGTGTTTGAAATCTTCTTGAGAACCACTTAACCTATTTTTGTAACAAAAAAGGACTGAAATACAATTCATGTTAGATACTTACTTAGGGTTATAGATGGTTCTGTCGGGAGGCAGCTAGTTTGGCTTTTGTAATTTTTTCAAAACTTTCATTCCAAAATTAACTTCCTCTGATAAAGTTCGCCTTAAAATTTACAAACATTTGGGTAAAACTTTCCACAAATACATAGATTCCCATCACCAACATACATACTTAAACATCAAGACTTGACACCGTTTTTTATAGAGTCGTAATGACTAATTGCCTTTTACTAGAATATATATGTAAATTTAATTAATTAACAGTGTTTTTTTTTTAGCCAAGTTCTATTGCATACTTAGCAAGGGTCCCTTCTCAAAAGTCTCCCTATTTAAAAGTCTTTTTTTGCTTGGTGCTCTTTTAAATTTTTACTGCGTTTATACGCAATGATAGGCATCTGTTTAAATATTGTTTTACAATATTTATCTCTTTGCAAAAACTGCCAATGTTTCTTAATAGCTCTGTTAAGATTTATAACTGTAGGGTTATATTTAGTTACCAGTGTAAGTGGAATTTCCCTTTTTCTAAAATTATCTGACAGAGTACTGCATCGTTTAATCTTGTATTTCACATCTTTTATGTTTTTTGCTGTTTCTAACTTATCATAGCCTCTATCTATAAGTTTATTCTCCAAAGTCATAAGATGATTGTTAAGATCAGTTTTGTTGCTATTGTTTCTTATGTGACGAATTGTTTCACCTGTTATAATACTTTTAAAAATATGTCTAGGATTTTTTGCAATACCTTTTTTTCTTTTTTATTTGTTAAT